TCCGAAAGTAGGGGACCCTAATATGGTACCCTAAATAGTGGGATCCTTATTATAAGGACCCCAAGATAAGGTAACCCCTAGTTTTCGGAAACTCCCGTAGAGTCATGAAAATTGTAGGGTTTATGGGGGTTCTGCCTTTGAAAACGAGGCTTGCAGATTGGAGTCCCTTTTGTAGGAATTATCAGGCCAAAGGCCTTAAGCATATAAGGGCCTCAATAATTAGAATTTTTTTGGTTCCCGGGGGGGGGGGGGCTTTATAGTAAACCCGTCCCCCCCACAATAGTATTGGCATTTATTTAAGCCCCTACAGTAGGGCTCAATGGGTGAAGGTTTCTAGGGTTTAGCTCCTACGGGTTTAGGGCTTTTGAGCTTTGGGACTATCTTGGTGCTGAACTTGGTTCCCACAGTGTCTTGAGGGTTTAGGGTTTAGGGTTTAGGGTTCCCCCAATCCCATAACAGGGGTTGTAGCATGCTATGGCAGGGGTTCCAATGCTCAGGCCCTTCAAGAAGTAGAGCTTCTTGATCAGAGTCTACACCACACGAAATAACAGGAAATCCCACAAACTATGACAGACAAGTCCTTAAACCCTCGCGACCCTAAGCCCTAACAATCACCCTTGAGCCACCCTACTTGGAGGTTCATGGGTAGCTATAGGTAGGGTTATAAGCAGGGTAAGTACAGTTATAACCTATATTAGGCTCTACTTATAACTACCCATGAACCTCCAAGTAGTAGCGCGCAGTAGCTCTGGGAACATGTTTCAACCCTAGCTCAAGTCTGCAGGCGCAGGTTCACATCGCAAGCAAGGTTGTGTTTAGACCTTCAAAAGGGTGTATACACATAGGAGTTGGGGGTTTTAGAGCTTGGGGTTTAGAAGGGGTGCCAGGCAATCTTAATCTAGTTAGGATATGCACCTTGAACCCACAAGATCACTCGCCCGCCTCAGCGTGCAGCAGAACCCCTTCCATAGGGCAATCGGTGGTCATCCGGCACCTGGCATTAGAAGCCAGAAGGGGTTTCAAGACACTAAACCCTAAACCCTAAACCCTAAACTGATTTAGGTCCAGGTCTTGTGGGGCTCGAGGTTCTGAAACACAAAAGCAGCAAGACGCAGTCGCTCTGATGCATGGATTTTGAGCAGCGGTGGCAGTCTGATGTGGCTGTACACTGTAGTCGTGGCTGCCGCCGTGCGCATGGTGAAAATACATCAGGCTCGAAGCATCTCGGAGCTTTGGGTAAGGATTGTTCGGGATCTACTTTAGGGGCCTCAACAATTAGAATAGGGTTTGGGGGTCCAATTAGCATAATAAGGAAACCCCCCCAAAAGCAGTCTTGGTAATTATTTCGGCTTCTACATTAATCGCTCTCTTCAGAGGCATCGTTTGGTGCGAGTTTTCCGTTTTGCTTTCCTGGTAGCCTCCACCTGCCTGCTCAAGCAATGAATCCCAAATCTCGTCTGGGCACTTGCTCACCACCGGCGGGTCCCAGTAGATAGGAACCTCGGTCTAACAGATGGGCCATACTGATCGGAAGAGGGTCTCGGGGATTTGGGGCTATGGTATCAAACCATTACTTGAGTATATGGGTAGTTCTTTAAAATAGGGTCACTTTTAGGGTCCTTGTTATAAGGGTGCCGTACTACATTGGGGCCCAAAATGGAACCCTAATTTAGAGAACTACACATATGCAGCATGTAGAGGAAACTCTCAACAGTTTTCAATTGGACTAAGGAGGATTACTCGCGGGGTTCACTATACTGTACCTTGAAGTCATCACTATCGTTCAATAACTAAAACACAAACTTAGAATTCCTAAGACCACTAAACAAGGCATCGGTTCCTGTAATACTACACCCTACACCCTAAACCCTAAACCCTCATCCCTAAACCCTAAACTCGAACAGTAACGGATCTTTTTCGGAATGCTTTGGGGACCTGTATCGCCGAAGGCTCCTGTCAGGGTTTAGGGTTTAGGGTTTAGGGGGGTTTTCGGACTCCCACATGGGAGTTTCAGAAAATTAGGGTACCTTATTTTGGGGTCCTTATAATAGGGATCCTATTATTTAGGGTACTATATTAGGGTCCCCTATTTTCGGAAACCCCCACATCCCTAAACCCTGAGCCGGCCTAAGTACTCGAGCGGCCTAAACCCTCAATCCCAACGTCCCTGACGCCTACTTGGAGGTTCATGGCTGGTTATAAGTGGAGTTATAAGTCCCCTAATATAGGTTATAACTATAGTTACCCTACTTATAAGTCCACTTATAACTACCCATGAACCTCCAAGTAAATCCCTTAACCCTAAGCCCTATATCCTAAAATCCTACACCCCTAAACTTTAAATAAGCGCCCTGGGAACCATCATAGGAATAAGCGCCCTTAGAACCATCATAGGGATATTATCCATCAACAGACAACAATTCCAAAAGAGCACTTAACTTTCAGGTGTTTCCGGAGCAAATGTTAAGGAACACATCCTGGGAGCACTAAACTTTAGGGGTTCCTTTAAACCTTTTAAACCCTAAACCCTAAACCCCTGAACCCCAGGCCCTAAACCCTA